GCTCTGAGAAAACTCAAACGAGTTAGCTTTAGTTGGAAATAAAAAAGAAAAAAATGAAATATCAGGACGTCAATGCGGTTTGCTTTCCGAAAAATTTCTAAATCGCATCATGATTTGCTTTTTACTTGTAAATACAAACCTAAAACTGTTAAGAAACCGCATAAAATTGATTTTGTATATTTTTTCCATGAACAGTACTCTCTTTGAAAAACATTTATGCATAAAATTTACTAAATTGGCGCAAATTACTCTAGGGCTATCTCTATAAAAGGAGGAATTCCTTCGTAGAAGACGTTCCCGGAAGAACGGGTTCAAATTCGATTAAGGAAAACCGTGAAAACCTTCGTTGGCTTTGCTGTTGCGATTGAATCCAGGCCAAAACCTCAGTTCAAGGTTTGGCAATCTTATCTGCTTGTTCGCTGATGGGATATTTTGCTTAGGATATTAGCTGTTAAGTATTATGTCAAAATTGACAGAAGTATTTTGTTTGGCTTAAGTATGGTTTACTGTAAATGAGGAAAATCTCTTCTAATATATTTTTCTTGATAAATACTAGTATTAGAAACACGTTTCAGCAGTTAGTTCAAGAGTAGGAATTCATGACTACTTTTTGTTGTTTCCTTTGGCGATTTATTTCCTTAGTGCATGTGCTTTTTTCGCTAAAATAGTCAGATCAGTATAATGAATTTCAACACTAAGCATCATTTAAGACTTTTTATTGTCTTTTTTATTGAAATTTTAAGTTTGAACTTTGTAGTCTATGCGAACTTCACTCAATATCATCTCATGATTTTATGCTTTAAAAGTCTTCGATTTAGAATATTCAGCGTAACTTAAAAATTCATAGTTACAAATAATTCTTCTTCAGATCATTAGTTAAACCTGGTAAGGATGAAACTTCCTCCCTTTCGTTAAAATGTTAATTAAGAACGGTTTAATACTTTAGAAAGGCATAACTGCTGTTATTCTGTGTATGGATTTTAAAATTGTCGTCCTCCTTAAAGGGCCAATTATATTAATAAACGTTCTCGAATTCCCTAGATATTTTCGAAAGATAAGTTACCATATTTTATGAAATATCTTGTTCTTGTTAAGTATACATAATTAAAAGTTTTACTTTACTGAAAATTCCAATTTATGGTTGTGGAGTGAGGCCAGACCTTCTTTTCAGCATATATAATGCTCAGTAATAATGTAAAAGGAATTTTATTACTCTGAGTCGCGATATTCCAACTATTTTTCTCGGAAGTTTAAATGGTTATTTCGGATGTACGTTATATCTTAATCTTTTAGCTATACGAATACGAATAGGAATTTATGATATTGCAGTCACGTGATATTTAATGATTTTGATCGTGTGTATTAAATTGTAAAAAATATGAGTTTTATGCCTATTTTATACTGACTTGGGCTCCATATAAGGTGGTGGTGTTGGTGTATTTAATTATGGCAAAGCACACGAGGGCTATCTGCCTAAAGGGAGGGATGTCTTTCGTGGAGGACTTTCTAAGGGAAACTGGCTCGTATACACGTTACACATGGGGAAAACCACGAAAACGCCCATGCAGCCAGCCCGTTCGCGGGATTCGAACCTCAGACCGAACTACCAGTGTTCAGCGTCTTTACCGCTCGGCCGCTGGTGGGCCCTGGGCTCCATATAAAAAATATAGGTTTTAAGGAAAGCCATAACGAATTATGCTTCAAATGTGGGTTATTAGCAAAATGAAATATAACTAAATCCTGATTCAACGAACGCGAAAGTGATGATTTGTTTTCTATTTGACAAATTTTGCGTTTTTTTGAAAGTTAAGGTTTGGTGAATCCCATTTCATAAACTGATAAAACTGTTCAACTTTTGTTTTCAGAGATCTATTTCTGGAGACGAAGTTATATTAATTTTACAAATTTCAATCCGAAATTGATTTAATTCAGTTATAAAATTGTTTATAATTTTCGCTAATTTATATATAAATACATGTAACTTCTTAATTTACTCAACCGAGTTGAGTCATCTACACCAGATTAAATTTTTTCGCTCACCCGAATAAATGAGTTCAAGATTTCTTTTCTTTTCTTTTTTTTTTTTTTTTTTTCCAGATTTGAAGACAGGTGACAAGTGAGAGCGGGTCTAAATATTCGAACGGCTTACATAAACTAATCGGGTATTGTCAAGATCCCGCAACTGTTTAGTACCACAGTCCTCCGGCGCCCCGCAAGGAACGCATCGGGAGTTTATTAAAATGCTACATATGTTGATGACGACATTAAACTATACATTTTACATATTGCTACACGGATACTAAATACTAATACAAACCTAGGTGCTAAATACTAACGCAGACAGTAACAATCACAAGCACTAAATACTAATGCAGGCACAGATACTAAAAATATATATTTGGATACAACAGCATATATCCGGTAGATTTTCGAGTTCAAATAAAGAAAGAGGTCAAAAGAAGTCCAGTCAAAGAATAAAAAGAAATTATTGGTAGTAAGATCACTTTCTGAATTTTTCTTGGTGCATTAAGAAGTTAATATGTCATGTATATTACCTATTGCAAATAATAATAGTAATAATAATAACAATAAAACATCATTAATGCATGCTAAATTATTATTTGGCATTAATTTATAAGGAAGAATGTTATTTTATTCTACGAGCTGGTGACTTTTTACTTCTCGAAACTGAATTCCTTGAACCAATTCGATGGTAACTTAATCCAACGAAACATTGAATTTTAACAACAACCGTAGTTAATTTAACCTTATGTTTGTGAGACTGGTGTGTGGGCTATTTATTTTATACGTCTGTATACAGTCTTGTACCTGCTACATAATTCACTTAAGATTTGCAATGTGTTTGGGGACAATTTCAAATATGACGTTTTTTATTCCACCTATTGATAGTTTAACCTGAATTACGTTGCATTAGTCTTCATTTTTTTTCTGTTACAGATCATATTTCGTAAATACAAATATTGATCAATTTAAATTAGTATATATATTTATTACGGAATATAATTTACAGAACTACATGAAAGATACAAAGAACGTAGTAAATTTTTAATTATGGATTTCAAAATTCGAAGTTTAAAATTCGAATATTATCGAACATTGTCATTTAAACGCTCAGTATGAGTTTAATACATTTAATTTATAAATGCTAGATTTTATTTATCAACTTACCGGTGTGTACGCCTTTGAAATTATATGATACGCAACACGTGGAATGTTACGTAAAATTTTCAAGCTATAAATCCCGATACGTTGGTTATTGAAATAAATTATATCGTCATATCACTTTTTTACTGGGATTATTTTTTTAATCTCAGGTTGTTAACTGTTTCTAATTTGTCATAGCAGAAACTATTTCTCTTTAAATTCTATTTTAAGTTATATTTACGAGGATCATAAATCGTGCTTTCATTCTATTTTAACCGATTGATAAACTCTGTTGCATATGCTTTGATAATCGCTTATCTTAAGGTACTCATGCATAGAGTATGACTTGATATTTTGTGGCGCATTGTAAAACACGAATTTGTTTTTAAGTGTTACATTTTTTTAGAGTAAACTAAATGAAATAAATATAAATATTTGTTATAAAAATAAAATATCTGATACAATTAAATAACTAATACTGTGTTTAGGAACAATGGATGCATATCGAGCTAATGAATAAATCGAGCTAAATGAACGTATCTGCATCTGTGATTTTGACGCCGTTTCTTTGACATCTGCCATATTTTGTAAACTAATCATTTCCACGCCACGGTGCTATTAAAGAGACATGATAAATTAGTTCAACCTATTATTGCAATCAAATCTAGAATCAATTACTAATATTCCGAACATTTAACGTTGGACTACAGGTCTGTTCCTTTATTTAAGAGTTACAGAAAATGAGGGCGATTCCGAAATAATACATTTGAAATTAAAGCTAATAAAATCAAAAGTATCGTAGAATTTTGTAAATCAAAAGTATCTTAGAATTAATAGCCACATATGATGAGAGGATTTTGCATTGTAAAGAGTTAATAGTTACTGTTAAATAAAAGAGACAGGTTCTTGACATACATATATTTACGGTAGCCGTATTCTATAAAGTTCTTTCAAATGAAAGCTTTTCTAATAATTTTCAAAAATGAACTTTTGAAAGTATAAAGTATTTGGAAAAATAACACTAAAATTATTTCATACTTTATCCTGTTACGAATTTTTTATATATGTGAAAATATATATTTTTTATATATTTTTATATATTTTAGTGAAATTGTAGTATCTTTTGTATAATCAAATAAAATAAATAAGGCTCTGCTCTCTCGCTAAACTGGTGTGATATCGCCAAGCTGGCGATGCGTTTTGGCAACAAATCGCCAAACGTCGCGACACTTGGCGCCCATTTAGTAAAATTTTGATCCGGTCCCTGTATAACTGTAATTGATGTTGACTGAATAAATGTAATTGATCCTGTAAACGTAACCTTATCCGACCCGCTTATGCATTCTAGTATTTTCAAGACGTGGAAGGTACTAGAAGTTTCTCGGCGGCCGAGGGAAAACTATGAAACCAAAGGTAGCATCAGTTTCTGAGTTGTTTATTTCATCGTGAGTTTGGAGTACTGAAAGATCTCTGTAGGACCTTCGCCTTTTTTAGATGCGATTTTCATTGCATAATGTTAAAGTTTTACTACTGACTTTGCTGTGTGTGATACCGAGGAGACCTGTAAAAGTACTTTTGTGGAACGTTACAGACAGTAAAGCGTTCCTTTTCGTAATATAAATTTTATCAAACTATAATTGCTTCTATTTGCATTCAATCTATTACGAGCCAGTTAGCACGCAAGAATGCATTTTTATCTCTGTGATTTTAGATAAAATTTAACTGAAAAAAATGAATTTATTTAAACTCAGAATTAAAAAATTATTAATAATACTCTTAATTATTAAAATTTGTTTAAATTTGGAAATTTATATTTAATATATTTCTCTTTTTAGATTGTCAAGTGAGTTATGCGACAGAAACAGTTATGAGCAGCTGCCATGGCAGGCGAAAGTGTTCCGTAGGAGCTGATGTAGGTACTTTTGGAATTCCTGGATGTCCTGCGGGTACCAGACTTTTCCTAAAAGTTGTGCATACTTGTGGTGAGTATATATCTGTTGTCCTCCGGTTTTTAACTTTGCAAACTTTTTTTCTTTCTTTAAAAGGTCCTTTCTATTTGAAATGGTATCTACTTACTATTCCAAATAGCAACAAACCGTAATTCAATTCTATATCAGGTTGAAAAATATGTGATTCGATGTTTGAAACAACATTTTTGTATACGAGCGTACGTGATCATCATTTAATTAAAGTAATTACCCACATATGTAAATTGACATATTTGATTCTGTAAGGCTATTGCCAATATGTGATGTAAAAAGTAAATAAAGTATTGCCATTGTGGAAAAAACTTTTATCCATCCTTAATTTATATTTACTCAAACGAAACGTAGCGCCTTTTAGAAGAAAATTAGGTTTAAAATCTTCGATTTAAATAATCATTCAATATGAATTCCTTATATAGTTCAGCAAATTAAATTATCTGTATGTGTTAAAGACATTATCAGCTGCTTAGCGTTATGTCATCAGCATTTTTAAGCCATATATATGGATAGATCTAGAAATAATTGAGAAATTTTGATGCGTGGCAGGTGTTAGAAGGGGGACATATAAAATCTTAAGAAGAAATTTAGATTGCTGATTAAAATAGCAATTTATTAGAGATCTATTTTCTTACATTATATTTCACATACACATATATATATATATATATATATATTATTTGCTTCTGAATTGTTCAGTGTAAAGAATAATTTAAAAACAGATAAAATCTCACCATAGTTACTGAATACATAATATTTATTTTCGAGCAGGAAACAGGAAAATTCAGCAGTGCCTGCGATTCGAACTACGGCCCTCCTGAGTGCTAGCGGTATGGTTTTCCGCTTCAACCGAAAAGGCACGCGATAAAAAACTAGAAAATTTCTTTCAAATTAACAAATGAAAAAAAAATGACAGCTGAACATGCATGGCAACTTGCAGGATTGTTAATTCGTCTAATTCCTATGAATATTTGAAATATTTTAAGAAATACAGAATCGGATCCAGAAACATAAATGTAATAAATGAAACTGGTTTGATGACATTGATCCATTAGCTGCATGGAAGGTCTGCTAAAAATCTTCGAGTTGGAGACATGTACACTGCGAAGGAAAACAAAAAGGGGGACAGTTCTACATTTCCCGTGCTACTGGGCCGATTGATGAAATTCGACTTGTGTTTTTCATATCTCGAAAGCGCGATTAGGATATGTATTAGATTTATATATAGCATTTGTTCTAATATAGGTATTTTGACACAAAATCGGATTTTTCCGAACTGGCATGCCAATATTTTTCCATATTTCGATTCTACGACTCAAATTATGCCAAACTGCCAAGTTTTGTAAAAATCGCACTAGTAGTTTTTAAAAAATTAGCTTTCACAATTTTAGCTCCTCAATGTTAATTGAATTTGATATATATTTATTAATCTCTGCTTTTTTATTTAACTTACTTGATTCATTCTTTCAGAATTCGAAATTTAAGCTTAATCCAAATATAATTCGCACATTTTTAATTATTTATTGTTAAAATTGGTATTTTATAAATTTTTCGAAAAATATTTTCTATTATAACCTACAAAATTTTAAAGGCACACCTGCAAAAAATTAGAGTTTTTTATTCAAAATATTCTAAGATATACATTAATTTGCATAGTAGAGCGTTTTGAAATTTGGCATCTTTTTTTTTTTTAGGTAATAACGCCAAATGTGGTTTACGCACTTTGTTAATGTTCTTTGCAAGTATGAACGATGACTTTTTTCCGCTCGTCTACAGTGAAAAACAGAAAACGAAAATAGGCTTGTATAAATTAGAAGTTCGCCAAGTAAATTATTTTTGACGAAAACTGTAAAAATACGCCAAGATAAATTTTTGAATTTCTCCGTAAAGTTCGCACCGAATTTTACAAAATGTAATATTTAGGAATAATTTGAGTCGTAGAATTGAAATATTGAAAACAATTTTCATATCATTTCAGAAAAAGTCCGATTTAAAACCATCATTTACTTCCAGTTTTGTTGCAAAAAGTCAGCTACAGAATGTCACCAAATTATGTATACAGCTTTAGGTACTAATCTTGTATCATGTGAGACTGTGAAGCTTTGGTACGGAAAGTTCAAAAACGAGAATTATGACATTCAAGAAGCAGAGTGCTCTGGCCAGCCTACTGATGTTTAAGAGGTCCGCCTGCGAGAACCCGTAGAAGAAGATCCGTATGCAACCACTCGAGAGCTTGCTAAGGAGTTAGTGCCATGTCCATTGGTCACTCTGTGCATTGCATAAACTTGACGTTCAATTGCTGGGGACCGCATTAAGCTGGCTCAAACAGATAAGGACAGACGTGTTCGGGTCTGCACTTATCTGGTCGAATATCAATGCAAGGACAATATTCTGGACCGGATTGTCACTTGTGATGAAATTTGGATTTACTTCAAGAATTCAGGCCTAAAAGGGGGTTGGCCTGCTTCCGATGAGCTCGTCGGCAGAGTCGCAACTAACAAAACAGTTGCCTTACGAAAAGATCATGCTTTGTATCTGGTGCTATTGCCGTGGTATTTATTATTCACAAAGAGTATCTGGAAAATGATAAAACCCTCGACATTAATATGTAGAAGAAGATGCTGGTCCGTGTTGACGCTGCTATCAAAGATGAACGTCGAATTGTGTTTCGGATAAAAAGATAATGTTTTATCAAGATAATGCAAGACCACCTATGTCTTCATTCACCGACTGTGCTCTATACAGACTTGAATGGGATCTTTTGCCCCACCCACCATATAGTCCCGACATCGCTCCTTCCGTCTTTTAAATTTTTTCGTACTTGCAGCTATATCTTCCATTCTGCACAGGACGTCCGAAATAAGGTTGATCTGTTTTTGGACTCGCGGTCACCACTTTTCTGGGCCGAAGGCTTTCAAAAAGTACCAAAACTTTGGCAGAAAATCATAGATTTGAGGGGGTGTGATTACAAATCACACTAAAGGTACTGCTTTCATGCTTTTCTTCCCTTAACTTTATCAAAGATGATTTTTTAGCGGAAAACTTTCCTTACAACCCGATATATCTTTTTAATGCCCGCCTTGTGTTCTGCTTTGAAATAAAAAAAAATAGCTTTGCAGTTCTGTCGAATAAACTGAAGATTGCAGTTTTCTAATCTTTGCCTGTCTGGAGAGAAGACATTGGGTTTCTTTTCATCCGCGTTCTTTCATTTATCGGATGCAAAAAATCGTTATGTAAATCATTATGCTATAACGTTGGATTCATTCTCATCCGTTTAAACAGAAATTTATTTAAAGTATATTTTAATCTACGCTAAAAAACATGTCTAGAGGGTTTTTATAAGTAAAAAATTCCTACATTTTTGTGGATTTTTTTTATTTTAATGTTTTTATTTGTATCCATGTGTGATTTTGTGTTTTTGCTTTAGATACAAACAATGAAATTAAAGATCTTATGTTTATTGTTTTATTTTTCGTAAACAAAAATTATTTTTTAAACCTCAATAATTCTCTTAACTAATTAACACAGATAAAGAAGGCAAAATTTAATTCCACTTGCTCATTTTTTACATTTGCGAAACAGATACTAAAAAACCTCTAAAAAAATTCATTTGTTTGGCGATTGTTTTTATAAAATCGTTTCAAAACGTTTTAACAATTGTTTGTTTGCCGATACTACTGTTAAAAATTAGTTCTTAAGTATAATAGCTTCTTAAAATGTATTTTTTTCAGCAGTTGCATGTTTGTGTAAAAAAATGTAATTCGAGTATTAAACAAACCTAAGTCTGGCTTAAAGATGAAAACTCTTTTTAATAATACTTTGATTTTTATATGCTAAGAAACCGGAATTTATTTCTCCAAAACTGTCTGGGATTTTTTATATTTAATTTTCCTATTGTGCATTAAAGAAATGAATATACATTTCCGAAGGCGTTGTGTCCCAGTAAATTTATTTACTTAAATTTATCTGTTTATACATCCCCAGAAACTCAAACTAATTACAGTACAGCATCTAATTAGTAGAGCAATTCTCCCTCATAAAGGTATTTCATGGACCGCTCATCAATTAGAAATTTGATTTAGTTTCTAAAATATATGCATTGCCAACTAGAAGTTTGATGTACGTAATCCAGTATTAAAATTCGTGATCAAGTTTTCGCTTATCTGAAAATATGAAATTAGTAAAGCATTAATTGTTAACATTTATTATATATTATAATTTATTTCATGCATCGCAGTGCTTAACAATCCAGGAATCTGTAAAAGTATATTAATTTGGCATGGCTAAGATTTATGATCTGATAATACGTACATCTGATAAGAAATCGTTTATTCTTATTAAAGAAGAGGATTTAATGCTCTAAATTTTTGCGTAAAATATTGTAGAAGGTAGTTGTAGCATCATGAAATGCTCCTCAGTAAATGGATTTTTTTATTCTCATATTTTCTCAGTAAAAGCACTGTAATATCTATTGCGTTCTCATGTTTAATTTACAAAATTTATTAGATGGATATGAATAAAAAATTAAGTACTTTGTGTTCATTTCTCAGTCATAAAATCCTTAGCTTGCTAAATATTTTAACCGCCTGGATATAGGCTAGCCTCTGTACTCAGAATCCTCTAACCCAGCGTTTCTCAGTCTCTGATCCGTGAACCACAGTCGTCGAAGCCTGCCTTTATGGGCCTCCAAATTTCCAAAAAAAGGCAAAATATAAAATTCAAATTAACTGCGTGTGCCATATCACAGCTGAAATTTTCAGAGTTTCAAATTACACATGACAACCGTCTATCCCGTTTTCTAGAGTGGGCAAGCTCATCTTTCTCATTAATTCTGTGTTCGGTGCAGTATGATCATTTTTGACTTAAATACACTAGTAAATACACCAATCAACCATCCCACTAATCTGAATGTCAATATTTATTCAATTTTTAGTTAATAAGGTGAAGATTATGCAAACTCTAATAGTCTTGAAATTTAAGAAGCAAATGTAATGTTTTAT